CAGGCCCATTATCTCCCTCAGCAAGGAACTCGACGAGGTTGACGCCTGAATTTGGTTGTTTAGATATCGTATACCAATGGGCCAGCAGTCGTTCCATAGTGGTGTCAAACATCGGCTTCGGGGAGAAAGTTAGCTAATCCGAGTCTTGCCGAATCCTGCTGGACAGTCTCGGCACCAACCTCGATAGCTTTCTGAACGGAAATCCGAGTCGGCCGTCCCTCTTCATTGAAGCCTTGCAACGTAATATAGCCGACGTGATCGTCATAATACCGTGCTTGAATCATGTTGGCTTCGAAGGGCTGGCTATCGGCCGGATGAACAGTGACTGATTTACCGTCCCAAAAGACAAGCACTTGGTACAATGAGGAAGGAATACAACTGGTTTGATGAATCCAATCTCGGCCGAGCAGTGCATTATACTCGGTTTTGGAATCAACCACGAAAAAAAGGCGGTCATATGGGTGCGACCGGCCATATCCACAGTTAACGGAAGCACACCTTTGGTGTGGGACTTATCGCCGACGAAACTACTCATTGTGATCCCTGACGGAATAAGCTCGTCATTTGAACGGCGTAAGGCCTTCATGATGTTCAGGGGCATGATATTAACAGTAGCTCCACAATCGACAAAAACTTTAGAAACCGGATATCCCTCGATGTGTGCCGTTACATACAATGGCTTTAAATGGTGAAGCTTGGCCGATGATAAACGAGGGAACAATTCAGCCAAAGCGGCCTTTAGACTATCATCTCTTGCTGTTGACTCGCCTTCAGCAATCGATATAAAAATTAACATGGCCAGGTTCCTCGACAACCACATCTCCATCGAGGAAATTTGGTTGAGCCGTGCTTGATTGAAAATCGGCAGGTAATACATGAACCATACTAATTTCCATATTATCCAGGACTGACGGGCCCATTTGGTCGAGATCCTCCTCGTTCGGTTGGTTAGCGACTACGGACTCAGTTGTCGTCAGAGTCGGACAACGAGATTCTTCCGTCCCTTCAATAATGTCACTCGGCGGAGCTGCTTCGGCCACTTGTTGGCTCTGCGTGACCGCCTCAGGTAAGGTCGAGATTGATAATGAGCTTGGGGTCAAGACCTGAACCTGCTCCTGGTAGTGTAGCCGAGCATCCCTAGTGTCGAGATAAGCATCCAGACGGGCAATACGGGTGATTTCATCGGTCGTAAGGCCGAAGAGAGAAACCGCCGAAAATACTTCAAAGTGATACCGTAAATACTGAAGGTCCTCTAACGAGAAAGGAAGGTCAGCGACATCGATATCGGTATACGGGTCAACTTCAAATCCAAAGACACGAGCTTCTCGTATGTGCTGGAACCTTGCTTTCAATCCTGGATCTGAGGTCTTCTGGATGATCCGCTCAGCATCCGGACAAGTCAAGACAAGATCAATGGTGTCCTGACAAGCCTTCGGCAAACCATACAAATCGTTGGCCGAATGTTCCTTATGAAATTCTCGCATATATTCCAAAGACTCCCCAAGGAACGGGGGATGCAAATTCCGTCGAATTTTGACCAAAGGCTCTTGTATAGCTAGCGGGGATAATTTGCTTTCGGCCTTTTGCCTGAAATGTTCAACACGTGCCTTCATTTCCCCTGGTCGAATGAGAAGTTTGATCCGCTTATCAGCTTCTTCAAACATGGTCTCGACGTCTTGATCGACCAGCCGTTTCCCCTGAGCCAACTCTGTCATAATTGGTGGAGGTGGTCGCTTTTCATTAGTGGCAACTGTATCCTTCGGTCGCCACTTAGGGGCCGAAGTTTCTTGGGCTGCTTGTCGGCGAGCCATGCAATCTATCCGTTGATGCCGGCGTTTCTGAGATTTGGACAACGCAGTGTAAACGCCCTTCGAAGAATGGTATGTATACCAACGTTGATCTCTAGGCTCGGGAGGCTTGAAGGTCTTTTGACTCCGTAATGATCCTGAACTGCTAGAATTACGCTTATAGTAATCATCGTCATAAAATGAAGCATCAAAATCAAGGCGCCGCCTGACCGGGGGTGTATCTTCCATCCGTACTTTAGGACCGAGCCTCTCAAAAACCCCGTGATGGTGGCCTTCATTGGCTACCTTTTGCCGAGTTACGGCCACAGACTCCGAAGAAGGCTTCTCCTCTGATTCATTGTCGACCTTCGCTCTACATTTCCTGCACAAAAACCGCCGTTCCACTATCTTCATCAGTACTATAATCCATCATAGATTTGACAATAGCGGGTCCCGTTAAAGCCGTAGGTGGTTTATTTGAACGAAAATCGGCCATGAACCGTGGCCGAACATTCTGATTCCGCGGGCGTTGTGTCTCAACCACTTTAGCCTTGCCTTTCCCTTTGTCCTTGGGTAGGTACGCGTCGACCATGTTTACTGTTGCCGTGGGGAATGGATCAGTATCCACACTCATCTTTTTTCGGGGAATTTCAGTTTGCCATTATCAATCCAGTTTTGAACGTTGTCGCGAAACACGACACAATTGTTTGTCGTATGTTTGCTTGAATTGTGGTATTTGCAATACACCTTCCCTTTAAGCTCTTCGGCCTTAGGAATGTTGTGATCGGGCCGAAGCTTGATAATTCTTGCGGATAACAGTTGGTTGAAGATTGCGTCAGCCTTGGTAATATCAAAAGTATAGACCTTTGATGGTTTCAACACTCCTTCAGCGGCCGAGCGACTTTTGACTTCTCTAGAATCAACCTGAGTTAATGCCTTACAAACGTATGGCTTATCTATCACTATCTCGGCCGCATCCACACTGACGCATTCATCCTCGGTTGACGCATAGCTGACAGTAGGATTTTTGTACAACGTCCCCCGAGATGGCGTTTTCGAAACCTTCTCCTCACGGAGCAAGTAGTCGTACTGTTCAACATGCTGGGCTAATTCATACATGTCCCGAAAGTTTGCCCCCAGGAATTTCTTTTTATATTCGACGTCGAGGCCGTTCAAAGCAAGCCTGACGAATTCGACTTCGGGTAAGGGCACTCGGCACCAATTCCGGGCCGATTTGAACCTAGTGAGATAGTCCATTGGTGATTCATCAGATGCCTGAGCCATCCTTGCTAATGAAGAAACTGACATCTCCATCCCTGGTCGATAAAACTGCTCATGGATCTTCTCGACCAACTCTTCCCAGTTCTGGACGGAATTGGGAGGTAGATTAATGTACCAAGCAAATGCCGAGCCGGTCAATGAGAAGTTGAATAGCCGTAACTTATGAAAGTCACTATTGACATCTCCGCATTGCGCAGTGAAACGAGCCACGTGCTCCAACGAAGATAAAGACGATTCACCGGCAAAAAGACTAAAATCTGGGATCTTGAAACCCTTCGGGTACCCAAACGATTCCACGTAAGCTGGGTACGGATGAATAAACTTAGGAAACTTCGGCCCTTTCTTCATAGCCGAGTCAATCATCCGCTGAACTTCGGTCATATCAACAGGTGTTGCTTCGACCCTCTGGTCGGTCCCGTCTGACCTACTATTCGACCCTCCTCCTTTCTCCAAGTTAATTGGTTTGAGCAGGGCAGGAATAGGCCCGGCCGGTACAATCGGTGCCGGGTTGTTTTCTGGTAAACAAGGTTGGCGAAGATCGAAAGGCATGCTGCCACCAACTTGGCTAACCAGCATTTCGAGCAGCTTGGTTTGCCGATCATTGGCACTGAGTATCGCGTCCTGCAGCTTGTCAATGCCTCGACTGAACGTCTGCTCGACTGACCGAGACTGCTCGTCCAGTCGCTTTCGGAGAAACGACCTCGTTGGTGGGTCTGATCCTTCACCACCATCCTCGTCACATTCCTCTATTATCCCTTCATTGAGAACGCATGTGTTTCTGTTAGGGATCTCTAAACCACGGAGTTGACCGCCGAGATTAAGTTCTCTCTCTCGGCGAGTCGCGCTCGTGGACTCAGGTGTACCAACGCTAAGGGGATTCTGCGCCTGTGGCACACTCTGTCCTATGCTCTGACTCGGTAAATCGGCTGTCGACTTTCCCATAGCTGTTTTCTTTTTTACCGATCGTGTTTCAATTGGCATGAACTTCGTAGTTTAGCACTGGGTCCCACTGGGCGTGCCAAAATGTTGACCCTAGAAATTACAAAGCCTACGTGGCGCGTAGGCCGAATATATTCTAAGCTAACTACGTCCTTCGGTGATTGCGGGGCGTGCCAACTCGTCGGCCGAGGCTCGGCCGAGGAGTAAATTTGATGATCCTGCGTTGGGTCGCGCTACTGACTTCTGCGTCTTGCGATTGCGACCGAGAAAGGAACGCGTCTCGGCCTCTTGGGTTCTCGAGCCTGAAGACAAGGCTGTTATTTCTTACAAAGTTCACGAACCGAATTCGGCTTACAATGTGCCGAATGTAATAACTGTAACACCTCACCTCGCCGAGAAGGCTAATGAGATGACCTCGACCAACAAGGATTCGAAAACCCTTCTCGACCGAGACTTGGATAGGCAATCGACCGTTCTCACCGCAGTGCTGTTGATGCCAACGGAAGATACTGCGAGACCGACCGACTCTACGGTGACAGAGCTATCTATGCCGACTTAAGATATCACCGGTTGCTTCCACAGTGCTGTTGATGCCAACGGAAGATGTGTCAGCGAAAAAGGAAAAGAAAAAGATCTCAAGTTGTGAGAGTTTGCGCAGGGCAATTTTTGTGTTTGATTTGCAGGGGCTTATTCCATTGCTGAATGTCTTGTATTTATAGTAGCAGAACACCGAACCCGAGTTCCAATCCTATTCGAACTAGGTTTCCCTCTCCGGATTAACATTACCTTGATCAGTCCTATCTCTGCTAGGACTACGAATCTAGTCCTTAACTGAGCCGGATTCGCCTTCCAGTTTTACTGATCTCGTCGAGGGTCCCTATTGTATTAGGACTCGACTTGCACTCTGATTTAACTGACCTAGGCTTGGAAGCCCATGAGCTGAACGCCCCATGACCCTCTCGCCGTACGTCTTCCCGGGCCGAAAGTGATTCCTTCCTCGGCCCAAACTGTTATTTTGGGCCCAAACAATTGGTAACCATTGACTACAAGAACCTATACAGAATACTTCCTATTGACTTAGTATTATGAAAATACAAGAAAAGAAACTTGCATACTGTAAATTGGACTGCAATTCAGGAACATTTTGAAGAAGTAAGGTAAACAACGTGACCAATCCAAAAGCACCAGCTGCAAACCACTCTGGGACGGCTGCAAGATTGACACCAAATCCATCATCGTAACAAATCATAAGCTTTAGAGAATGATTTCAGCCTACAACTTCCACGGAAATCCTGTAACAGGGCAGGAGCTAAAGAATCACCAGTTGACTCTGGCTGTAATGTCCTTCGTGGAACTACAACGGCCACTGGTTGATCATCCTCAGGATTGACTAGAAGGAAAAGCTTATATTCATCACCAAACTTGTCCTACAAACAGGTTGTGCAGATGTTAACAGGGAATCAATCGTAATTTTGAATCATAAAATAAAGGAAGAACAGATATAGGTACCTGCATTCTCTTTGATATCTTTTCATAACTTTTAGCAGGCACTCCTCGCAGGTTTCCTTTAAACAATACTCCAGTCTGGTAGAAGAAGTAACACAAAATCAGAGGTTTTCAAACACGCAGGCTAGAAAGCATATCTTAACATTCCAATGGTTTGCTACATTATCAGCATTTTCTCGATTACTCTTTGAAGGATAGTTTTAAGTCCACAGAAAAGCATGCATAAATTCGTACCCTCCGTAGGAAAGAAACTTCACCCAACAACTGAGGTTATATCCACATGCCATTCCCTATGTTTACTTCACTTCTATCCAGTGGAGAAATTGGCATAGACATAAAAAGTAAAAGTAATGCAATCAATCAACTCACCTCATATGGATCCTGACCTGTCACGAAAAAGGTATCAAAGCCGAAAACTTGGTTCTTAAGAATATCGATTGTTTCCTTTGGAATCCGGATGGATTCACCCGGCTGTAATATTAAGAAGAGGGTGTTAAAAAGAAGAGATGATAAAAAAGAGGCGTCTTCTTATACAAGAAACATCAAAGAACTTCATAATCACCTTCACACCTGGAAGAGGCGATCCACTGGAAACTTCTACATTTTCAACTTCCTGTCATAAATACAACCTTAGCACAATAAGCGTCAACAGAGCTAATTTCCAATACCCTCTTCATCAGAATAAGAAATTAATTATCCTCACTTTTGAGATAAAGAAATCTGAATAATGAGAGACCAACATTCTGGCATATAGACTCTCCTGTTTGGGGACTGATATCTGGAAAAATTGCCTACATATAATGTTCGTGACGGGGGGTTTCATACTGAACTCGAAGGACAATATTTTCATGTATAACTAGTGAATGGGAGTCACTAAGGAATACGCTTTGAATAATTATTCGTACTACTACCTCCATCATGAGAAACAGAAATGAAATCAATTTCGCCTATATCTGAGTACACAATCACTCTGTTTCTAACATGTAAATCTCGAAACTTGAAGATGTAAGGAAGATAAAAATTTCAATTGACTGACAGTACCTGTTGAGCCTCAGTTTCAGCATCATTGTTTACTTGGTCTGCAACTATCGGCTGCGAAGCGAGATGGACGGCATCAGAATCTCCATCCTCATTTTCATGTCCTTGTTTTTCCTAAAATCTCAAAGTAGGTAAGAATTGAGAAACATGAAAATGTTGAGAAATTAACATCAAAATTTAACAAAAAATCGAAATTGCACCTCATCGTTATTGCTATCCGGTGGCGGTTCGGTCTCCGTCTCACTCACTCTACAAACAACCTCCCGCTTCCTCAAAAATCTAAATTAATCACAATAGTCAAATTCCAAACAGAAGAATAACAATAATAATTTGATAATTGTTTGGTGGGATTATACAGAGAAAATCTTGCCTCGAAACCTGGTGGAGCTTCAAGCTGCTTCTACGACGATTTCGTTTTTGCCAAGAAGAGGTTCCCGAAGCGAAATAGGGCTGAAAACGAAGATCGCAGCAAGAGCTGCACTGCGATAAGGGGACGAAATTCCCCCGAAAGGTTGCGGAGAAGTTCATTTCAACTAGTAGCTAGTCAGAGGTTCTAATTCAGATGAAACCCTAGCGCCATTGGAGCTTGGAGAGAAGCTTTTGTGTGAAAGTTAGAAGCTTTCAGAGTGTCAGTGAGGTGAGAGGGCGTCTTATCCTCAGAGAAAAGATACAAACACACGCAGACGCAGACGCAGAGAGGCAATATCTGTTTTCAGGTTCGTTTGGTTAAAGCGCGCGTAATTGGTATTTTTTTTAATGGTCAGATTAATTTTTTTTTGTTTTCAACCTTTCTATTAACTCTTAATTTTACAACAGTCTTATACATCCGTTAAATTTACTGTTAAATCAACCGTTAATTGATGACGTGATTGGACAACAACTATATAACACGTGTCACGTAAAAAATTAGAAAAAATTAATATAAATTAAAAGAGTGTCGGCCTTCCCCGCTCCCCCTCCCTCCCTTCTCTCTCCACGGCCGCCACCGGCGTCACCTCCCGCTGGCCCCGACAACCTGATTCCCGTTGTCCCCAGCACGAATCGAAACTCAAACCAGAATACAGACTCCAAATATACAAAGCAAACCCTCAACCCTCTATGCAACAGAATCCCTCCATCCATTCAGGTTCTGAGATTACTCAAAGCCTCGAGAAATGACTGTAGCGCTCATGCCTTCGGAAAACGTAGAAATTCTTGCTTCCATCATCGTGAAAAGCTTAGAGAGTCGGGATTGCATGCCCGAGTCCCAAAGATCCCACCACCATTAGGTAAAAATGCATCTAGTCCAAAAACCATCAGATCCATGCTCAATCCATGGGTCCCAATATAGATTCGTCAATCTAAGGTTGAGTTTGTTTTCCTATGCCTCTGACTTGAGTTAATCTAAACCATGTGATTGTTTGAGAACATTGAAAATTTTGGAGTGGTGTTTTTCTGCGACGCACCTCCGCCGCACCTCCCTTCTCGCAACGCCGCCGCTCATATCTCCGCCAACCGAAAGCCGAGAGAGAGAGAGAGAGAGAGAGAGAGAGAGAGAGATGAAGGGGACTCTCTCTCCGTTGTCTGTATTGAGTGGCGGTAAGTAGGGCCAGGGGTGGCGGTAAGGAGGGCCCTGGAAGATAGAGAGAGAAACTGAGATAGAGGAGAGAAAAAAAGAGAAAATTCAGACTTGGGGGAGGTAATCAGGTTGTTGGGGCCGGCGGGAGGTGATGCCAGCAGCGACCGTGGAGAGAAAAGGGTTTGGTTGAGCACAGAGGAGAGAAGGGAGGGAGCGGGGGAGGCCGACACTCTTTTTTTTTTTAATTTTTTAATTTTTATTTTATTTCTCACGTGGGCCCTTAATGACACGTGTCACACATTCATTGTCTACGTGGGCGTTACGTCACCAATTAACGACTGACTTAACAACAAGTTTAATCGATGTATGAGACTGTTCAAAAATTAAGACTTGAAGTATGACTTTGTGATGAAAAAAACTTTATGTAACAAATGTTGAAAACCAAGAAACTTTAGGGTAATAAACTAAGATTAAGCCTTTTTTTAATTATTACTAGCAGATGGGCACACACAAAGTGTGAGAAAAATTTTTATTTTTGTTGTTGAAATTTTTTATTTTTGTTGTTGAAACAGAAGGAGATAGGAAGAAAGTTATAGAGAATGTGGGACTAGGAAGTTTTTTTTTTTTTTTTTTGTAAGAGATATGTTAGGATTACATGTAGGTGAGACTTTGAAAAAAAAAACAGAAAAATTTGGTTGTGTGAAATTACATTTTTGCCCCATATTTCTTATTCATATTCTGTTTTAATTAGAGGGTTAAACTAGTAATTTCATAGGGATTTGGTTGACAATGAATGTTTTATTAATTAGTAGAAATTTTGTGTACCCGTTGAATTGTGAAGCAAAAATGCTAACAAGACTTAAAATAAGATTTCTTCATAGACATTCTGACACTTCTTAGTTTAATATTAATTTTTCATATCAACGTTATAAAATATTGTATTAAAAACATGAAGTGTCAGATAATTTTATTTTTGAGAGTCTCCTTAGTGTTTCTCATGTGAAGCTTTGATGACAGATATGAGTTAAGTTAGTTAGTTAAGAGAGTGTAATAGTATGTTCCCTTAATCACGACAATTCATGTATTTTGTGCCCGTTTGGAGCTAATTATTTGGGGAAAGATATCTTCGTCGAATCCTTTTTCTAGAGATCTGGGGGGATCTTGTGATCATGATCGTTCATCGTATATTGTAGGGTCAGAAATCATTTGAAATTTAAGATTTAAAATTAAATATAAATAGTACCTAACGAAAACTGACTGCACGATGTACAATGAACGACTATAATCATGAGATCTCCTGAATCCCTAGGAAAAGGATCATCCGGCGAGGATCCTTTTCTGTTATTTGGGACAATTTATGTTTTTTTTTTAAAGGCTTTTTATCTTTATAAATCGTTTAGTAAAGTGTGGTGTGAGAAAGTTATGGTAAGATAAAGTTGGATTAACGCTAAACTTCACAGAAAGCTTTTATCCAGTTCACCTCTTTTTCGACTTCGAATCGCCTTGTATGAGTCTTCCTGATAAATTATGATCATGTTTAAAAGTTATTTAAAAAATAACTAAAAACGTTTTTTTTTTCAGTACATAACCAACCCTCTAAAATATCAACAACTTTAGATTCATAACTAACCCTCTAAAATCTTAATTATTTGAGTTACAAATCTCGTCTCATGCTTAAAATATGAAATCATTTTATTAATTATTTTCAAATTTAAGGTTATTAAGTAACAATTTTCCTCTTATCCATAAACCTCTTGAAAATCAAAGTGATGCAAAAAAAGCTGAATTTTAAGATGAAAAAGCACCTGTCTGATTACTCACATGAAAGCACCAACAAACTAAAGCCACCCACAAGCTTTCACCATTTGCTAAACACAAAATTTGGGTTCCAATTGTTGGATATATGTCAACAATCTGTGATAATTTATATATGCTAATAAATAATAAATACAATAGGAATTAACAGAATATAAACTAGAATACGAATTATAAAAACAGACAACTTGTAGATCGAGGCTTGCGTACCACAATGTCCTTGAAACAGAATTTTCGCCCCTACTCAGTGCTTGTAGTTCTACGGACGTCTGCTTCACCAGGATTCAACGATCTAAGTCAGAAATTTCAGCACCGGAAAATTGACTTCTGGCGAATATTAATGTGGTTCTCTCAGTAAGGATGTTTAGGATTGCAAGAGAAGATTTATGATTTTTCTGTGTTCTAAATGCCATACAGATGGATGTATATATAATGTGATTATACCTGTTCGCAACAGGTATAAGGAAGGGATGCATTTGTTGGGAGACATCTGCTGAAAATGGTGTTTTTGTTTCTGCGTTTTCACACTTCAAACTTCATCTGAAAAGATGAGTCTGTTGGTAAAAATAAATAATTAATTAATTTAAATTCAAAATTAAAAATAATTAATTAATTCTGAAAATAATTAATTAATTTAATTATTAGAGGTCCAAGGCCCAAGGCCCATCTTTTGACAATTAAATATATATTAATTATAATTAATTATATATATTAATTACCAATTAATTAGTACACCCCAAAGCCCAACCTCAAAGGTGAGCCCAATTTTAGTCTCCAGGCCTATTACTCCAATCACTTTCTATAAAGGACAAAGCCTTATAAAGTGATAAAATCTTTTGTGAATGGCCAATCTGGGACAAAGAAATTTCTACTCAAACTACTCAAATTTCCAACACCAATGGCTTCCAAAATGTACATTTCTCTTCTGTAGAGTTGCACTGGTCTGTACAAAATATCGACACCACACGTATGACCACAACAAAACAGATTTGAATGATCATATAGTATCAGTGTATCACCGAAAGGTTCGAAAACTGTGGTTTTCCATACAACACTCCTATTTCTACATGAGAAATGCTAAGGAGACTCAAAAGTGAGGCTCTCTAGAAACTCTCTGTCACCTCACGTTTTTTGCTTAATATAATGTTGACACGAGAATTAACGTTAAATTGTGAGATGACAGAAATAAATAGAAAGTCTCACTTTCAGAGTCTCCGCATTTCTCTTTTTACATATTACAAGCACAATAGGATTGGCAAGAGCTTCACATATCTTCAGGTCACATGTCCCACCTCGACTTCCGCTTTCTCTTCTTATCTGGCCTGATAAGCAATTTAACAAACTCTGACAATGGAGACGATGCCATTACCACTGGATCTTCCTCGTCATCGCTACAAATCCAACCGTAGTAAGGTCTAGGCATTCAGGGTGCAAGTCTGTCTACTCGAAGACAATCGTTAGCATCTGCAAGACAAGTGGACATTATACCGAAAAGGGAAGAAGTTTAGCACACAACAACAAGAAGAAGCAGCAATCAACTTACCCTATTTCCCGCAGCATCTTGTGCTTGTACTTTCTCAAGAAGCTCTTCATTCAGGAGCGTATAACAACACTCCTCGATAAATCGCCACGGATTCCTATTCTTTCCCTTATAAACCTGAAAGCAAAACCCTTTTCACATTTCGAACAAAACCCAAAACCGATTTACTCAGAAAATAATGAAAACACACACAATGAAAATTAAAAATTTAGAAAAATTAGACCCACCTTCAGTAGGTCATTCACCGTAGAACGAACGAGTTTCTCGTCAAACCCCATTTCACGCGTCGCAACAATGGCTGCGTCCATTCGGGTATCCTTCAGCAAATACCAAGTGAAGGTGCAAAATGTCAGAAAAAGACAGAGTGAGAAAGTGCGGGAAAAGGCGAGAAAGTGTGAGAAAATGAAAGAAAAGGCCGAACCTTTCTGCCCTCGTGCTCGTGGAGCCATTGTTGGAGCTCCGTCGCCCCACAATCTGAAGGCCCAAATCTGCTGCTGTGTTGAATTTACTTGCAATGGCTAAAAAGGGAACTTGAGGTTGGTGTGAGCTGCAGGTGGAAGTTTGGTGTCGCACGCAATTCCGAAGTTGAATAGCTTTGTGTTTGGTATTTTCACAACTTGGGCCACACCGGACTTGTTTTGTGTTTGGGCTGTCACTATAAACAAGAGAGAAATTCTTCTGGCCCGATGGTCCGACCGCACACGTACAAACTAAAACATCAATACTTGGGCTTTTGTTCTTTTTTTTTATTGACCTTTTCGTGTGCGTAATGCTCTATACTTGTGTTCGTATTAAAGAATTTCTCTTATGAGCAAACTCGACAAGTAAGGTGATTCTTTACTCTTTTAGTTTAGCTTCGCGTTTATAGTCTGTTACATTACGAGCATTGATGTTTATACCATTTAGTGTTTTTTTAATTAGTGTAAGTGTCTCGCTTTTATTAGAGAGGATGTACACGCCTAGATGATCAGTTTACATGGTACAAATAATTTTATATTTGGATTGCGCCTCAACCTCTCTTGATCCATATTTTAATTGGGTTCTAACCCTTCATGATAAACTTGAGATATTACCTAGTATGCATCAATAATCGATGTACACAATACGCCAATATCTGTGACCATCGAATGTTTAATTCTTGACTGTACATCTAACTATTTATTTATCTAAATCATATCATACACTGAAGCATAATAAAAATCTTTGATTATGAATTATGATGTGCCAATTGCCAACAACGAAATGCAATGATGGTTTTATATAGATCAAGAAGCTGACTTGCTTTATGGAAATGCGAAACATGAAGGTGGAGCTTTATCTCTTAGTTGATGGGATTAAAGATAAAAAGGATGTAGAAAGAAGAAAAAGACGCATGGACGATGTCTCTTCAAGTTAGGGATTAGTTCAATCGGAAAGTCGGAAAATCGTATCAAGCTAGCCAACCTTATCACGATGCATGATTGGAGGTCAGCTTCACATCAAGTTTAAAGGAAACCAAGCTTAATTGGAGTATTACTTAGGCCATATCCAACCGATGGTTGGCCAGATGGCTCGTTTTAGCCCTCTGGCCCTCCAAGATTCTCCAAGATATTAATATTTTAATGAACAGTACATGACCATATTTGCCTCCGTCTCCAACCAAGGGTCAGAGGGTCAGAGGGCTCGTTTTAGCCCTATCATAAAAAACCGTCTCGAACCGAGGGCCAGAGGGCCATAAGGCCAAACATAATTTATTATTTAAAAACTACAACTTAAAATAAAATGAAACAAATTTTGTGAAATAGAAGTTATAGGAAAAACGGAATTTAAAAAAAATATGAAACAAATTTTGTAAAATAAAAGTTATAGGAAAAAATAGAAGTTATATGAAAAATTTTGTAAATAAAAAATAATAATAAAACTGTAAAAAAAAAAAATCTCAAATGCAACGGCTAGTTAGCTAGCCGTTGCATTTGAATTTTTTTGTTAAGAAATCATGTCGGTTATAACCGACAGTAATACATTTACATTAAGTAATAGAATGTATTCCTGTTAGTTATAACCGACAGAAATAACAAAACATTAAAAAAAAATGGCCAGCCCTCCAGCCCTCTCCGATTCCGTGGGGCCCTTCCAGATTCCAGAGTTATCTAGCCTAGCCCTCGGTTGTAGACGGTTTTCGGGCTATTTTTGGCCCTTTGGCCCTTTGGACCTTTCGGTTGGAGATGGCCTTAGGTTTTCAGATTTGGATTGTGAACTTAAAAAATAGAATCGAGATCTGTATCATGATGCATGAAATTGAATGAGAAAACTGAAAATACAAGTAGCAACATTTGGCTTAAGTGATAGTCTTCTAGTATGTGACTCTTCTCAGTGTGGGAAATGATAAATCTACTGATAAATGATATATGCAAATCATAATATATCTTCGGTGATATGTAAGAACTTAAGTGAAGCTCACGTATATGGCTAGCGACAAATAAATGAGTAGTGACGGATTCAAGGGGGTCCTCTTAGGTTCAGGGATCCTACTGAAGTTGGGAAACATAGGGAGAAAGTCGCTAATTGACCCTATGGTCATCTAGTATGAGACCTAAGAATGCCCACAAACTATTAGACGAAATGCCTCCTAGGCCGAGTTTGGCGGGCCTTAGCAAGTGATGCTCAACCTGCTTTAAGACAAGCCTTAGCGGCATGCCTTGGCAAGGGTGACGCTCGACATTAGGCCTTCGAAACTGTTGATAGAACTTGGAAGAAAACGACTTGCTCACTAAGTGCTCAACTAGATGCTTCAATGAAAAAATGAAAATTTTGCGTATTGCGCGCGCTTAGATCTTTTACGCTAAGACCCTACAAGGTTAAATTTCTAAATCTACTGCTACAAATGAGATCTTGTCCAAGAATGCACATGATTTTTATGTGTGTGGTTGGACGGGTGAGCCAATCCATCGATAATTTCTCCCATCCAAGGAGAGTGGCCCATCCCATCCAAGTCACTACTTGTGTTTCACAGTTACACTTCCAATCCACATCAAAGGATCCCCACCATTCACATTTGACCAGTCAAACCTATAACGTACATAAATTAGCAGCGAAACGACAAGCATGAAGTTTTATTCATGTGAATCTGCTTGTGAGAAAACCAAAAACTGAAAATTTTGAATTCGTCAAAAGCGTTTAATTTCATATAGGTCATCGAAATCATCCGTTTTCGGTTTTCGGTTTCATAAGGATTCGCATGCAAATGATTTCAAATTTGAATGATTTATAATAGTAATTATTTGGAAAATCGAAAAGTCAGACATTTCAGTTATAAAAATGCTTAATTCGTCTTTAATCTTGATATATAATTGTACGCAACATCAATAAACGAAGAGAAATTATCTAGTAATTAAGTAGATTGAACATTTTAAGATAAACTAAATGTAACAAAATATTGCTTTGATTCAAAAGGAAACAACACCAATCCACTCTTCACATCTTGCAATAATGTACTAATATTTATAGGGGCTACACAAAAGATAAGGTAAAATGCAGGACACCATGTGTATGATACAATGTGAGAGAGAAGCTTAGTGATGCGGTGGTGGGGAGGCTGAGACTTTGGGAGGGCACTGGTAGCACTTTGCAAACAACCCAAAAGTGTCTACTTGCCTGATGAAGTTGGTCATGCTAGCCCACCCTCCGAATCCGAACCCGACTACGAGCACCCACACCACGATGAATGCGTTCACCACGTACATGCCTGTCCAGCTCGGGAGGAAGAACGGAAGCTTCTCTGCTGCATTCTGCCAACACGAAAATCACACATTTGCACTTTAATAAGTAATGCAAGACCAGTGTTGTCTAATGAAATGAGTTGTAGACAAAATGTGCTAGGTTACATTGTCTACGAGGCCTCGCGCACACGCATATACATACACAAACGTATATAGTGGTCTAATGGGGAGATTAGGATTGAGGCATTACCTGGCGAGCAGCGGCGGATTTGAAGGTGAGCATATGAGCTAAGGCGGGTATGATGTAGACGGTGAAGCTGACCAAAAGAGCGCCAACGGCTGAATTAATGGGACCAAAGAAAGGAAATATGATGGCCAAGAACCAAATAGGTATCACCACAGGCAACCTGGCAATTGCCCTCAAACATATGCTCTTGGTGTCATGCATTCCAATTACTTTCTCCCAAACGAAATACAATGGCGTACAAGCAAACCCGAATGTGATGAACTGCATATGCCAACCACATGGGAAAATTACATCACCAAAATTGAAATGTTTCAAATTTGAAATCATGGCTTCGAATCTAAAGCAACCATGGTAGCTTAGCTGCTTAGGCAGCGCCAAAACAGCTAGAAAATTTAACAATGTGTACAAGTAACTAGAGTCATCATGATCATCACCTGGTGAATGAGCATCAATGTGACACCCGCATCGCGCCACTTATTCCGGGGAAGGAGCGAGAAGGCGTTCGAGTGGGTGAGGAGTTGGTCGCCAAAGGCCCAGTACACAGCAGTTGCAGATGGAAGGGTTAGAGTGAATACATAGAGGGTAGCAAAGAGATAGACATACTTAAACTTCTGAGGCTTCCACATTGCATGCATGATTTCCCTGCAAACAATAACATCAATTATACCACTTATTATTCCACTTTTATTTTCCACTTTTATTCTCTCACTTATATAAACATGACCATTCAACGTCACTCAGTCTCCACTTTGTCGGAAAACGTCATGAGTTCAAACTTCAGGACGATAATTATTAATAAAAAAACAAATTTTCTCACTCATATCATTTTCATTTCCCTTTCATAATTTTCACTTCTCACTTCAACCCATTAATGGCAAGCAAAAGCTGCATAATAATGAATTCCACTGTGCAAGAAAACCCTTTTGAAAACTGAGTAAGAAAATAAAAATAAAAAGGAAGAAGGAACATCATGATAGATTCTAGTCAAAAATTAAAAATTCACTAACACTTTAATAAAGACTCACACAGTAACGGCGTGGCCGCCGAAAGTGTACAGTATGTTGGTGGCGCCGGTGAAATACAAAACCAGTTTATCTGGTCCTGAGTGTTTCACACCCTCAACCTGTAAATCCAAAATAGCAGAGCCAAAATCAACAGTGAATAAAGAACGGAGAGATAACCGAAGAGCGATCAGGGTCGTTGATGAATGATTAAAATTAATTTTTTTACCTGGCCATGAACAATGGCTGCAATGGTCATGTACCAGGCAGTGTAGGTGGTCATTCCAAGCCCTAAAAAGGACCAAATTCTGTAGTTGTGAAAGGAGGGGATGAAGACTGTGGTGGCACAGCATGCTCCAAATATGTAGGTCCATGTCCTCTTGTCCAGATGGTCATTTATATAGTATATGTTGCTGCATAATCAAGCATTAATCAACAACACAACTCAAAAGTTAAGTACTAATCAAACGAAACAAGACGGGAAACATGCGCAAAGAGAACTCGTTACAAATTTTTAATCAAAACTAGAACTCGCTGACACTAAACAGACAATAATTAACCCCTTTGAACTCCAGCAAACAGAAAAACGCTCAAACATAACCGGTTACAAAATTTTAATCGAAGTTGAAATGGGGACACTAAACAGATAATAAGCCGTATAAAACCCACTTTTAGTGTTCTCCAAATTCAATTTTTTGATTAAAAACATCTAACCGGTTTTATTTGTGCATATATCGAAGAAAAGCCCATGTTTCTAAATTTTGCTTATAAAATGATGAATTAAAAATGACATACCTTGCACAGCCTATAAGTTGGATGACAGATCCAAAGAGGAGGAAAGTGCAGTTGAAGGCCAATCCAATGGCTTTCCAGTAAGGACCCAGCAAACCATCCAACACTTCAAACCACTGATAAAAAAAATTCCCACAACAGAATCAAATAAAGAACTCTTTCTTTTTACCTTCTCTCTTTCTGCACTGAAAATTGAGTGAAAAAATGGTTTGCCATTGTGAGAAATAATCACCTGGATGACATGGTTCTTGAAGCTGACATTTTCCTTTTCTTTTCGGCTTCGATATTCGACGTAGAGAATGCTGATCAGATAAGCAGTCCAGCTCCCCATGATTCCGTAAAATACCTGGAATATGATTCCCGAGAGCATTCCCAGTTGGGAGAAGGAGTAGGGCAGAGTCAGCAGAACCTGAGCAACCTGTTTTTTGACCAAAACAGAACAGAACAGGGCAGTACAACGTTAGATTATCAGAAGTTGTGTCCGAAAATGCGAATTTTGAGGTGGGATTTTGGTAAATCTGTGACCTGGTTCGATGCGCAGCTGAACCAGGCGTCGTAGACGGAGCCGCCATGCCAGAGGAAGCTTGTGAGGTTAAAACCCGAGTTCTTATCTGCTGCGTGTTCTTCTTCTTCCTCTCTACCGTCGGTCTGGTTGAAGGTTATGGCTTCCTCTGATTGCTTCTGGGCTGACATTTCTGACGGATTAAAAAATCTGAAACGTTTAACAGACATGTTAAACCATTAGATTAAGGATTAATCACTCCAATAATCAAAACCCAGAAAGTAAAAACAGAGGAAAGTGAAGAATAAAAAGATACTCAACCCAAATCAAATAAAAAAATCTGACTTGTTTTGGAAGATGGAAATGTATGAAAAGGAAGAGAGTTTGTTGGGGATATATAATGGAAGCTTTTATGTGGATTTGACAAATGTGAGACTCTCCGCAGAATCGGTTACTTTCTTTAACTCCTCTCACTCTTGAGAGAGAGTGTGTGTAGAGAGAGAGAGAGAGAGAGAGAGTGATTTATCTCGTTTTGGTCTTTGAATGGACAGACGAAAGGAAAGCAGAGAGAGAGACACGAGCATGCAATTGCAGTGGCACTTGGGTTGGCCGTTGCAGAGAGTTTTTAATTCTGAAAACTTCCAAAGATTGGAACTTTAAAAATAAAGATATAGACTTTAAGACTCGTGTCAGACGCAGCCGAATTTCACCCTCTCTCTCTCTCTCTCTCTCTCTAAACTTGGCACATTCCGTGGCAGGAGTTAAAGATGATTCTGTGAGAAACAGAAGAAAAGAAGGGGAAAAGGGGGAGTTTTTGGAGGTGGTGTTTTATGGGGATTTTGATTCCTGGGTTTTTGAGAGAATAGAGAGAGATCTGACATAAAGGAGGCACCTGAGAAGGAAAAGAGTTGCAGAAAGACCACTATTTTTGTATATAAGAAAATATAATACGATTATTTATAATATATTTCAGAAGAAATTGAGAAGACGATAGAGCAAATGAACAATGTAATTACCAGAGCATGAAATCTATTCCCTTCTCTTTCTCAGTTTCTCTGTCTCCGTGCACTGTGTTTCTGTCAACTGTTGCAGAGAAGTTAGCTTCTATCAGTGAACTTCTCTCTCTCTCTCTCCCCCTCTCTCTGTGAGAAATACTGAAGTAGTTTTATAATGGCAGAAATGGAGGTTGGTGGACAGATTAAACTTGGATAATTGATTGTCCCAACTAAATCCAGCTTCAGTCTTTTGTGTCAAATTACTCCTTTTTGTGAATCTCTAATACTGTGTTTGTTGCTTGATTTTTCTTTAATTTATTCGAAATAAATGTTCGAAGAAAAGGAAATTAGTGAAGAAAAAACAAACATGAAAATTACTTTCTTTTTTATTATGGTAAGTACATTACAATTATATCATAATTTGTATTACAGTTGTTTAGAATGCCAATTAAAATCGTGGGTTCATGTATTTAAACTCATTGTCATTAATTGGTTTGACTCGTAGTTTGATAATTAATAGTTACGTATGTAATATGCCAAATTGTTTGGTAATAAAACATTATTAGATAAATAAGCTTTGAATTGTATACTTTACAGATTTTGAATCGACATCGTGCAAGCGAAATATTTCTATATATGATGGAAATCCAAATATGCTAGTAAATCTCCATTGATTAACTTCAAATCCAAGGTGATTATAATCATTGATCTTATCTTATACTCTTGAGAAATCTCTAAGTTTTCATGAAGAGTGAAGAAGACTTACAAAATTACTTAATTCCACTAGATTACACTTAAGAGCTATATTAGTTCATTAGTACCTATAATATAATAAGAGATTCTCAGTGTATCAAAAACATGCTCTGGTATATCATGTGTTATAATACAATTTGTTGGAAACTTGAAAAAAAAAATCAACCGATTGTATTATTACACTTGATGTACGTTGTGTTCCTGACACATTGGAAATTTTCTCTAATATAACATGGCCCGTCCAATTCAATATGCAGTCGCTCATCTCTGTATTTCATTTAATGTACATGTGCATATAACCTTGAAGCGTTCAATAAATATTAGCATGATTTCTCCACCCCTAGGCATTTGATATATATTTCGAATCTATAGTTACTTCTTCATGTTTTATATGAATGAATAATAGTGTATGGCTTTCGCTTTACAGATCCAACGTACGTCGCGAATAACAGATTCAATGTACGTTGCGAATAACATGCTAATGACTCTCAAGAGTTATTATTAACTGAGTATTTAATTGTTGAGTTGAGTCTTCTTAACTAGTTTCGAGTCTTTCAATTCTTGGATGATCCTTCAAGTCTTAGTACAATGAATTTCTTAGGCTTTTTATGTGCACTTTTGAAAGAAGTATATTCGGACATGACTTGTCATACAGTCCTATAACATGAATGAATTGGTAACATAGTAAAAAACGAACATAAACGTTTATTCCTGAAATGCGTTTGAAGAGATTCGATGAGTAAAATTTTGTAGAGAAAGTCTCATTCTTTAAGAATTTGGTGAACTGCTCCTTTAACATGCAGTCAAAAAGTAAGCAGAATTAAACCTTTGAACGGAGACTTTAATCTCTATCAAAATCACCATTAACGTCTATTTGGTTTGCTTTTTATCATGAGTGATTAGATAATAAACATGCTTATAGTGGGTGGAGGGGCCTCCTTCTCACTTGGTTCTTCATCTTTTTACTTAGCTTTTCCATAATATGCTCCCTGTCTCTCTTTTCTCAATTATCTCAATCTGACTCATAATTCATGCTAATTAATTCATTAATTAAAATTTGCATGGCTCACCACCTTAATTATTCATTTGGTTTAATTTTTAGGGACATCATCCTAATCTAATAGTGCCTATCAAGTCGATTGTATGGACAAATTTACATCTCTCTCAACCGTTTTCCTCTTTTTTTATTATTAAAAAAAAACAATTGGTGGCAAGCTACGGCTCTCAGCTGTTTTAAAGTAACCGATGAGATTAAGAAAATCATTAAGTAGAAATAGTCTAGCTAGTTCTTGTTCCCATTAACCTTTTGTGAATACTAAAAGTATATATTATGCATCACGCATGCCCAAGCCTAAACAAAGTATTAATTTTGGGATTAGTGAGCGAATTAAGGTAATGATAAAAAAGCATTAGATTGGAAATGTAGACGGGTAGTACACATTCGGTACAATCGCATAATTATAGAAAATATTTGAATTCTTACGTATAAAGAGCGAAACAGTGTTAAAAAAAGATTATACTCAGCAAGTATTTCATTCAATTTTCAGTTAACTAACATCAATGGGTGAAGAATATATATAATATTGCATTAATATATAACCTGTATATAACAAGAAGATTATGGATTTTAAAAACCATTCGTCTCAAACCATGATATATAACTAAGGATCAACCTATGCCACAAGATAAGAATTGAAAAACCCTAGCCGTCTACAGAAAAAAACAAACGAAAAATTCTCTACCGCCGGTTCTTGATTTTGCTTTAAGATCAGCGGCAATCTTCTTGAAAATCAATCTTTCCAATTTGCACCTACCACTAACATCATATCAGCATGACAAATTTGGATGGTGATGAAGTGATATTATTTTTCGCACTTCATACGTAAGGGAAAGGGTCCAACCATGCCATAATTATTTGTAGGGTTACCCACAAAATAGAAGAATATTTGCTTGAAATAAGAATGAAAAGGAAGATATTGGATTTTTTTGGCTTCTTCCATATCTGCAAATGCTTCTCTCAGGATAGCAAACTGTGAGCTCCAAGCTTTCCTCTTTGTAGTTTATTCTTGGTATTTTCTGTCACTTTTTTGCTCCCCTCAGAATCTGTCTTGGTTATCAAGCATCCTAGGACATGATTTTTGCACCCATAAAAAAATGGTTTATAATTTTGTAAAAGATCCATTACATGTATATTTATATTCATATCGTTTGTACACAAGTTCGACATCTCTCATCTCTAGTTTAGTTAGAGAAAAATATTTGATGCACATTTTTTTTAATATATGCACACTTCATTTGAAAACTATTTTAATTAGCTTTTGCTTTATTCGATGCAAATTTCATTGAGACAAAAACAAAACAAAAGAAAAAAAAACTCTATGAATTTGAGTCCCAAGATTTGAGAAAATTTTTAGTGTGCCGAACAATTGGTGAAAATCAAACTCACATAAAAGTACATAAAGATAACTACTTTCTGTCACTACGATAAAACGTCTTATGCTGATAGCAAACTCTTAGTTTGGAATGTGATATGAAAATTTCAACCTATTTGAAATCTCGAAGTCGTTGCTATTTGAACAATGGAACTTTGAATTTTTTATATAATTTTATTTATACGAGCTGAGTTCTAAATTTCTTCACTACTAAACTTGTTCTCGTAGATTTTTAATTTAGTGAAGCTAGGGTTTTGGTTTGGTATATCAGATTAATGAATCTGAATCTGATATGTAGGTTCGAAAGAACATTAATAGTGAACCTTGTTAAACATGTGATTTCTATTAACGAGCTTCATACGTAGGTTCAAATAGAGCTGAGTCACCATTGCAATATAGAAATGCTGCTTAGTTGGATCAAGTTAATGGATTTAAACTACTAAGCAAAATTTTCAAGTTAAACTCAGTAATTGACTATGATTCTAATCTTATATCTAATTATCTAAAAAAAACTATGTAAAAGTCATTTTTCTAGTTAGATTATAATATTGCTCGAATGAGAAAAATTGCTAACCTCTCGTTGGAAATAAAATTTAATCAATGATAGAAATTAATTATTAATGTAGGACCCAAATCTATGAACGTTGACTCGAACATTCATCATTTCTAAGATTGTTATGATCGTTGTTGTATCTGTATTGAGAAGATGCGACAAAGTGTTCGGATCATTGTGCAATGCCTTAATCAAGTGTCTAGTGGCATGACCAAAGCCGATGATCGTAACTATGTCCACCATCACCCATTCCAAAGTGCCTCACCGGGCCACACCAAATTCCATCGGCTTGATAAAGAGTGCAAAACACAACATTTTTAATATATAATCAATCATTAATTTGATGGATTAATGCTGCTGGATATGTTTAATTAATTTTTTGTAAATATAAAATGTTTTGGATCATCTTCTTCAAGTTTATGTGGCTAAAGCTAATCATTGATCTGCATCAGCCTGAAAATTTAGTAATGAATATTCTGAATGTAATATGATTAGGGCGTTTGGTTGGTCCACCAATATTTTCAACTTTATTTGCATGAATAATAATTCGGTTTTATTATTATTAGGTCTACAATTTGTGCATATAATTAGTGATAATGGAATGCTAATAATTGTATTAATGTATAATGTTTTTTTTTTGTTAGGTCATGATATCATTAACTAGTCCTTTGTAAGTTTTGCATGCTTGTGTGTATTTTGCTCTACGTAAACTCTAATTTGATTCACGAGTAAGAAGTTTCGAGTTCGAAAGTCTGTTTATAAGAACAAAATATGTGAAGTAAATGGAATCAAAGCAGGCAACAACCATCAAAATGATTCAATTCAAAATCATACTAAGGGTCGTTTGGAAGTGCTTATAAAATGACTAAAAATGCTT